ATGCCTGCGTGACGAGCTGGACGACCGATGAGGCAGAGCGTCGTGTGGCGAGCGGGAGCGCTAGGCGACGGCCTCAAAGTCGATGATGTACAATGGAAGACGCGTTCGCAGCCTACGCGCCGTGCCAGACCTCGTGGTCGTAGAGGTCAAGTTGTGGGGCCGGGACGTTCCCAGTGCTCCACGCAGCCTCGAGGTGGTCGTCGGTGCCGGCAAGCGAAGCAGCCACGTCCGCTGCGGGCACGGCTATTGGCGTGTGTAAGGGGCACGTGATGGCTCCATCGCAGCCGCAAGCTGTCGGGTTGGTCATAGGATGCTGAAGCCCAAATGCACGCCGAGTCGCCATGCTTTATTGCTGGGGAAAGGCTACCATGGTGAAAACCCAGATGCTGTCGCTCGATACATTGCACAAGCGAAACAGCCACCCATTGGCTGTCCTAGCATTGAAACGAAACATTTCGCCCAATAAAACGCGAGACACAATTGTGCAGCTGCTCAGTGGGATGAGATGTCGTAGTAATAATAATCCGCAACCAAAAGCGACAAAGGCAAAAAGTTGTTGGGTTTGGAGTGAGATAGTTGCCGCACGCTAGCTCCTAAGCCGTCGGGGTAAGGGTGTAGGGGTAGAGGGGATTGTGAAGAACCAACCGCTAGGTCGTCTCACGTTCGGGGAAATGGGGTGGGATGTACAGGGAAGATGGTTTGCTGGCGGGGTAAGGTGGTAAAAAGGGCATTATATTACAAAACTTCGCTTTCGAAGTCGAAGTGGCGTATCGCAATTACCCTACTCTGACCCAAGGTTGTCAAAATAACGGCTATTGGATCCTACCTGTGACTGGTCAGATTAACCAATCACAGGTACCGGTCGCACCACCTGTTCCGGGTCGGGGAGGCGCGTTAACAGATCCTCCACAGATCCACGGACTCGAAAACCTCCGCCCCAATCAGAGACCCAGCTTGCCACAAGGGACCTTCGCTCACAGCGAACAAGAGTATCACACAAGGAAGCTGCAAGGCCACGCTCGGTTTTCTTTCTCGGAAAATGATAAAACTAGGGTTGACCTTGTGTCTTCTTGGAGCACGTTTTGGTCGAGCTCTTTGGTTGAGGTTTTGCATAGGGGTATCGGTAGTGTGCAATCTAGCGCCGGCGTGCGTCCTCGGACTCGAGGGGCGCGCATCAACCATGTCGACACGATGTAGGCCGCCGCGCCGCGCGCGCGCTGACGGTCGATCCCTTGCAGATGCAGACTGGTCCGTGGCGCCCACGGCCCCTCTGCGGCACGCCTCCCGTACCCGACTATCGCGTACAGCACCCGGCTGCGCACACCCGGCGCTTCGTCGAGACCACCTTCGTGCAACAGTACCGATAGCTGCAGCACGTGCGCAAGCCTGTCGAAGGCCTCGAGCGACCATTGCGCGGCGCAGCGCTGCGGGGCCGGCGTCAGACGATCGACGAGCGATAGCAGTGGGATGAACGCGAGCATGCACGCCGGCAATGCGCTCACCGTTTGCCGCATCGACACCATCCTCTAGGTACAGGTGGATCGCTGCTAATAGCTAGGTGGTCAAGAACCGTAAGAGATACAAAGACGTTTGGCTCGGGGACACGTTCGTGCGGCGTGAGCGTCGACAATGCGCCGATGATGGCGCCTGCGCACAAGGAGCTCAAGCGCCGCGTGCGCCACGGCTCCGTCGCCTACCCATACACTGTGGCGCGTGTCCGGTTAACCACGCCGGATACGCTGCAAATCAACCAAGTATCTCTCTTATCTCTCTTATCTTTTTAAGTGAATGCCGATTTCGGCTGCCCCCCTCCTCGGCGGGCCAAGGTCGGACTGATTAGGAAAACGCGCCCCACCAGTCGCCTGCGACCTTGCGAGCGAAGCGAGCCACCGTTCTCGGTACGGTCAGCTATCTTGCGCGCAGCGCCCTTGCATGCGCCTCCGTATCGTTTCCGTGACGCTTCCTGTGGGTGTTCTCCTTGGCATGTTGTTTTCCGGACATTAGCGGATACGTGGCCGTCGATGGGTCATAGTGAAATCAATATTGCCACGCCCTGAACTCGAGTCGTGTCGCCAGTTTGGGCTCATAAAAACGCAACCGCGTCACTCTGCCCATTTGGGCTGCTTTATCCGTATTTATGATGTGTGAGAGGTACCTACATGCGTTTTTAGAGGTCTATTCGGAGCACATCCTTCTCGAGCTGCGTGGTTTTAGCCGAAACGGATGATGAATCTTGCTCTCCTTCTCGGTGACGTAGTCTTTTGAGTTAATAAATGAGAGTTATAATGATGCGATGCTTGCTTTTGCCTCTGATTGCCCATACTTGGCATATTTTTCCCAACAATGCGTCCTCAGAGACGATATCGATTCGTGCATCTTCGAGTATAGTGCTTCTAGCCATGACTGAGGTGGTGGATCTCTTTTCTTTGCGATCCAGCATGTGATTGGCTGGACGAACACTCTTCAATTTTCTGTGGGCACGGCCAGCTCATTTTGGAATTCGCTGCTTCCTGCTCCGGTCTCGCTCTGCATACACCACCTGCCGCGTCGTGGGGCCGCCTCTCCTGTGTAAATGTGTGTATGTGTGCCGTGTCTGTATGTCGGATGTGTGCATTTCGTTTGCGCGAGAGCCCTATTCATATCTACCCGAGAGCCCTATTCAACGGCCTTGCAACATCAGCTTGGCGTTATCACAAGCATTTAGATCTACTGCATCGCTGTCTCCGCCCTTTGTCTGAACACCCGCTTCTCCGCGACGCATGTTGGGTTTGAATCTCGACGCACCACTTCATTGCATCACTTTTCTACTTTATTTGATGTGCTGGGTGTTGACAGCCGATGGGCATAGCGGGTATGAAGATTCTCAAGGGCGCATCGCATTAATCACACAGGAAGAGTTTCAGCACAACAGTTAGAATCGAGCTTCTGTGTAGCAACTGGAAGGACAAAGTTACTGAAGAAGACACGGAGCAATCCTGGGTCTTTGCGGCCACAGCAAGGTATGCATTGAACAGAATATAAGTCAACAAAATGCGCCAACAACCAAAAGTAGACACTAACTCCAGCATTCATCTCAACTACGGCGCCCGAGTAACGAGTTGGCCGAAATCACACTAAAGCTATATGGATGATGCAGTAAAGCTGCTGTTCTCGAAATGGTCCGTCGTCCCAAACAACTCCAAATGGACGCCACCAACTCGCTTATCGACAAGAATTG